GAAGCAGAAGGAAAAGAATTTAAAACCGGATGGGGAGGAGGAAGAAGAAGAAGAATCCTACTCACAGGATTCAACAAGCCAAAATTCCACGTCATCAGAATAATTTGAATCGGAGAAAGGAGAGGCTGCCCCCAAACTCCAGAAAACGAAGAAACGCAAAAAGAAAAAAACTCTAGAACTAAGACAATAGCACTAAAGGCAGTAATTGTGTTAAGCTATTAAATGTGTACTATCATAATTGAACCAAATATTGATATAACGTGTAATATTAGGTTAAAAAGCATTATTTTTTCAACTATTCAGATTGTGACATGTATTAGACTTCTCCCTTCCCCCAAATCCCGTAGATGAAATAGATTAGAATGGTAGCATTCCTTTCCCTATCATGTAGATATATGTATTAGATCTCCTTCACCCATCATCCGTAGTAATAGTGTTAGGGTATTAGTATCCCTTCTCCCATCCCATAATTGTAGTGTGTAGAAAATGCAAACAAATAAAAAAAAAAAATTCCCCTTCGGGAGGCCCCCCCCCCCAAAAAAAAGATTACCTTGGGCCAGTCTTACATCCTTTCCCCTCCTCCAACCTACCTTACAGGGCTGTTGTTGGAAAGATAAAATGGAGGAAGGGGAGGACAACATTGTAAGATGTTAAGTGCTAAACAGCAGAGTGCAGATGTCTAAAATGATAGATTTGATGGGGTGCGGAAAGTTTGAACATTGTTTCCCAATTTTCAAGGTGTAAGCTTCCCAAAAATATATATATATACACCTTGGAGTGTCCGACTATTAATCATGTTTAAATGGTGAAAATGCTGGGATTCTAAAGCAACTTGGGGTTTTCTCTTTTCAGTGATGCTGCAGCCCTTTGATTACGACCCTAATGAGAAAAGTAAACATAAGTTCATGGTTCAGTCGATGTTTGCGCCACCTGATACTTCAGACATGGAAGCGGTAGTGAGTATTGAAAAAAACCCAGCTTGCTGGAGTGGTACACATCTGTAAGAATGGCCCTGTATTCATATGCCTTGTTAAAGAAAGAGAGGTTGTTAATGCCCCTTGCAGAAATTGCCCCTTGGAGAATATTGGGGGCGTTCTGTATGAATAAAGGAGAGGTGGGGAATTGTGGGTGGGCGGTGTTCCCAGAAAACAAGAATCCGAATTCTTGGAGAGCCAGTTTGGTGTGAGAGCCAGTTTGGTGTAGTGGTTAAGTGTGTGGACTCTAATCTGGGAGAACCGGGTTTGATTCCCCACGCCTCCACTTGCACCTGCTGGATGACCTTGGGGCAAGCCATAGTTCTCTCAGAGGTCTCTCGGCCGCACCTACCTCACAGGGTGTCTGTTGTGGGGAGGGGGAGGGGAAGGAGTTCGTAAGCCGCTCTGAGACTCCTTTAGATAGTGAAGGGCAGGGTATAGACCCAGTCTCTTCTCTTCTTCAAATGAACTCTGCAAGTACCTTTGCATTACTCCTCAAGATTTGCAGGAATCTTACCTTGTTGTTGAGATGCTTGCCTAGCTACTTGGTGAAACAAGCAAAGTAAGAAGAGGCTGTGGATCTCTTCCAGAGGGTAACTGTGTACTGCAACCCAAAAAAAATTCTTTTAAAACAATTAGTAGCCACCTTTCCTCCTTACGGCGTTCAAGGCAGCTGACAATATAAGTATAAAATACATAAAACAGAGTGCATTAAAATACATAAAACTACTTTAACAATATGCAGTCCTAAATAAAACCATCCTCAGCTGCCTCCTTAAAGACTGAAGGTGAGGGGGGCCAGGTGCGCCCCCCCGGGAGGTTGTTCCATAATCATGGGGCCACCACCGAAAAGGCCCTCTCTCATGTACTGGCCAAACAAGTTTATTTGATTAATAGGACAGCCAGGAAGGCCGCTTCCTCTGACCTTAATTCCTGAGCAGGAACATACCGGTGAAGACAGTCCTTCAAATACTGCCATCCCAAGCCATGCTGGGCTTTAATAGCGACAGGTTTGTGGTCCCTTGCTTAGAGTGGTATAGGCTTCTGTGCATCAGAGCCTACCTGGCCATCTGATGATCCAACTTGTGAGAGCTTGTTCTGCAATAAGTTTGTTTAACTTCCATGGTGCCTCAAGACCTTCTGTTGCCGATATCTGAAGCAGTGATACGAGGCAGTTGGAGGGGTTCATGGAAGGTTCGATGACAGGGTTTCTTCCCCTTTTGCCCTGACCTGGATAGCCCAGACTAGCCTGTTCTCGTCCGATCTCAGAAGCTAAGCAGGGTCGGCCTTGGCTAGTATTTGGAAGGGAGACCTCCAAGGAATACTAGGGTTGTGACTCAGAGGCAGACAATGGCAAACCACCTCTGAAATGTCTCTTGCCTTAAAAACAAGTCTAGCTCACCACCTAGTGGTGCATAACGCTAAAAGAGCTAGAACTTCTGGCTGCCAGACAATCTAGGATCTTCTGGCTGCTCTACACACAATGCCACAAGATCATTAATTCCCCCTCTTTGTACAGTGTTAGTGCTTTGGCCCATGACTCCCACTGCCACAATCCTCTTGCAGCATAATGTGTGGATGGAGCCGGCATGCGTATCCCCTCCTAGGGAAAGGCTCATTAGAATATTCATACATTTGTTTGGCTGTAGACACGCTGGTGGATTTTTGCATCTGTTTCCTAGGGCTGGCTGTCATTCCTGTGGGAGCTCAGATTAATCTTAGTCTGGCTACAAGGTCAATAGCTGTTTTTGCAGCACAAATCACGGGGAATTGGTTGTATAACAGCATGTGGCCGCCTTTGACGCTGTCTTGTTTTATGGAAACATCAGTATCAAAAGGGCTGTTTTTACCCTTTATTTGTTATGGCGTCTGGCCTTGGCGAGGAACTTTGGCTGTTGCTTAACAATAAAGTAATCTACGTTTCCCCCCCCCCCAAAGGAGTCTTGTATCTGTGGCTTGCAATAAACAAGACAGCTGCTGCCATTCTGAAGAAGTCTCCTGCACACACAGTTCGTGCTTGAAATTGCCAAGTTTAATTGCAGGCTTCTTATGGGGGAAGTAAATGGCTTGTTCTGGGGCAGGCGGGGGGGGGGATGATAATAATAATGCCACCAGCCTGCCACTTGCATTTGTAAAATGTTTCACCCTCTGCTCTTCTGTTTACTGTGTCGGAATTGCTGCCGGGGCACATTGCTTTGTGGCCCACGGCCGGGCACGATGGGTGGAACAAGTTGGCCCTGTTTATGGCAGTTTTGCTGCATTTTTTCCTTCTCTGCAGACTCCACCTTGTGGGAATTAAAGTGTTATGTAAACAGAACTAACCAGGACAACTTGTCCTACCACGCCTGGCTGTGTTGCAGACGGCAGTGTGTGAATGCACCCTAAGAATGTTACTAGTTTGCTAAGAGCCCTGTTCTTACTACGGCCTGAATTGTCTCAGAGGTCCTTCAGAATTGTGCACAGTTATTCAGGCTTGAGTTTGCCCGTTTTAAAGCTTCAGGGTCTGGCAAGTGGAAAAGTCGCCTCGGGCAGATAAAAATCCTTCAGGAAACCAGTTTAAGTGGAATGTTTAAATGGGAAGGCTTCGCCTTGTTTTCGAAAGATGCCAGGGCCCATGGGACTCCTGGCCCAAGCTCATCACTGTTCTTGTGTAGCCTTCTTTGTAGTGAATCCTCCCTCTCTTGTTACTACTTTTTAATTTTGTGTCTTTTAGTGGAAAGAAGCAAAGCCAGAAGAACTCATGGATTCAAAACTTAGATGTGTGTTTGAACTGCCGGCAGAAAATGATAAACCTGTGAGTTCTAATTGAATTTTACTTCCTAGCAGAGCGCAGGTTGTTCACAAACGAGGTTGTTGCCTGGTCTCTGAAAACCCCGGACTTGGTTCACTGAAATGTCCATGGCCCACACACCAGACTGTGCTTCAGTGAAAACCCTTAAAAGCAACTTGCTGTCCCTTGGGTCTGTTAGAGAGTGTTTTTTGGAGAGGGGGTAACTTTGTCTTTTGAGGAAAGGCTGGTGAGTCTGGGATCTGATTAGAAAAAAAAGGCGGCTAAGGGGAGACGTGATAAGAGACTTATAAAATTGTGCCGGGGTGGAGGACACTTTTCTCCCTCTCTGTTAATACTAGAACTTAGGAACACCCAATGAAATTGTTAGCAAATATGCTAAGGACAGATAAAAGGAGATACTGATTAATGGGTAATTCAGTGCCGGTGGAGGTAGTGTTGACTTTGAGCATAAAATAGCAATTGTAAGCTACTCCAAGACTCGCTTCAGGTAGTGAAGAGTGGGGTATGAAATGAAACTCCTCCTTAAAAGGGGGATGGACAGATTCATGGAGGAGAGGTCTATCAGTGGCTACTAGCCATAGTGACTGTGGGGGGGCCCCTCTATATTCAGAGGCACTAACCTCTGGATCCCAGAGCCAGGAGGCAACATCAGGGAAAGTCCTCAGCCTCTGTGCTCAGTTGTTGGTCCCCCCAGAGGAACTGCTTGGCCACTGTGTGAGACAGGATGCTGGACTAGATGGACCACTGGTCTGACCCAGCAGGGCTCCTCTAATGTTCTTAACTTTCACATTCAGAGGCATTAAACCTCTGAATCCCAGAGCCAGGAGGCAACATCAGGGGAAGTCCTCGGCCTCTATGCCCAGTTGTTGGCCCTCCAGAGGAACTGGACGGCCACTGTGTGGGACAGGATGCTGGGCTAGATGGGCCACTGGTCTGATCCAGCAGGGCTTTTATTATTATTACCATCCTGTTCCCTTTGTCACAAGCAGGATTCAGGGTGGCATACAACATGTATATACATCAGTACATAAAGTAAAATACATAAAATAAATCTACATCAATACATAATAAAATGCACACAATGCAATTAAGCTCCAATAGTATTGAGCAATTTTATCTACTGTTAGATGGTGTCACAGATAGCTGGAGTGGTTGGCATGCAATCTATATTCCACCCATGTGGAGGATCTTAGCCAGGAGAGAATAGAGAAACCTGGGAGGCCACTGATCTCTCTGGCTGTTGCTGTCCTCATCCATATGCCCAGCGGAATATCTCAGTCTTACAGGCCCTGCAGAACTGAGTTAAGTCCTGCAGGGCCCAAATCTCACTAAGTAGAGAATTCTGCCAGACTGAGGCCAGGGCCTTTTGGTCGAGGATAGCGGGGACTACCAACAAGTTGGGAGTGGGGACTACCAACAAGTTGGTACCTATTGAGTGTAATATAGGAAGAGGCGGTCCCTGATGGTTCTTATGTCCATCAGTGGCTATTAGCCTCCGAATCCCACTGCTGGGAGACAACATCTATACTGTTTGTTTGTCCTTCCTCAGCATCTGCTTGACCATTATGTGAAATACAATGCTGGACTACATGGACCACCAGTCTGATCCAGTAGGGTCAACTTTTGTTTAGTCTCTTAAAGACTAAAAATGCAGAAATAACTTGGGTAGTAGCAAGGACACTTGGTAGCTGGCGCTGCCTTTTGTCCATGGGTGGCATTTGATTTTCAGAAGGATACTGCTTCAGAATAGTTTCAGAACTATGAAGTCTGGCCTTGCATGCCGTGTTTATAGAACTCTGAGAGAAGCTGAACACTGCAGTCTGTATCAGTTACATGTTCAGCATATTTGCATCATTTCTCATAACTTTATCCTCCATAACATGAGTCGAGATAAAGAGCTTTGCAGGTCACGAAAACCTTATTCATTCACTGTTTAGGCTTCTGAGATTTCCCCCCAGGTGTTAATGGACACATGTTCAAACTTGCTTGCTTTATTTTTATTTAATTTATTTAATTCTTTAATTACTTCACTTATACTCTGCCTTCCTTGTGAACGCTCAAGGTGGATTGCAAAAGTTTTTAAATGCAATAAATAAAACTGTAACAGTTATTAATGGAAAATTACCTGAACAAGCACTATAGGGCTGTTTTTCCACTAAAAAAAGACCTCAGGGTCATTTATAGCAGAATAAGACATTAAAAGTTCAATTTAAAATATCTTAGTTCAGAATACAACAAAATCAATAAAAGTCAATTTAACAAGAGGACCCATCCCCATGTCACCGTGTTGCTCATTAGTCAAAGGCCCTCTGTAAAGGGCAGGTCTTTAAATGCATCCCAAAAGCCTTTAGGGAAGCAGAAATCCCTCCCTTTTGTGGGGGGGGGTGTTAAAGGGTCAACATCTCCCCCCCAGGTTCCCTCTAACCAAACCTCTCCTAAAGCTACTTCCTGAAGTTCTTGTGGGCTGTAGCAAGTTCTTGCTTCCTTTAGCCTTTGTTCTTGCTTTCTTTAGCCTTTGTTGATATCTCTTGATGTGACTCAGTTTCGATGTCAGACAGGAATAGAGCATTCCAGAAGTGCCAAAGGAAGGGTGTGTAGAGACACCTCCAGAGATTTTTATGCGAAAGGAATTCTGTGCCCAAGTATCTCCCACTCAGGGGACGGGTGTGATTAAAGCCCACGCAAGCTTGCTTTTTCAAACTACCTTGAAGAATGGTTCCTCCCTTGGTGTTTGTTTCTTCCTGTACTCGTGAAACAAAAGAACGGTTGATTACATTGGCTCAGGAGAAATGGTTCTAGGACACGATCGCAAGACAGCGAGCCAAGTTTCAGCCAAGTGTTTAGGCTTTATCGGAGTGATCATAGGATGCTTGGAGATTACTCGTGGTTAACCTTGAGCATCTTGCAGATTGAAGAGTGGCTCATTGTGCAGTGGTCTCCCCCCACCATGCTGTGCAGGGCACAGGAAGAGCCAAATGAGAGACTGCAAGGTCAGCTCTCTCCTCATACCTGGCAGCTGCAGTGGAGGTGGAACCATCTGCATTTGAAATAGGTCTAAATTATTTTTCTAATAGAAGAGTTACAGCTGCTTTCTCAGTGTGTCTTGGGTTGGAAGGGACTGTTCTTGAAGCTGTGTTTGCACTCTGGGAACTCGGTCCATTTGAGTGATGGAAGCTTTTTAAAATTAGGGCATTTTGAAAGGATTCTTATAGTTTCAGCAAGGAATTTTTTATCCAGCGGAGGAAGGTTTTCCTGACTGTGTCGGATTAAGCAGCATTCTTAAATAACTCTCCTCCCCCCCCTCTTCCCCCCTTTTTTGTCTCAACAGCATGATGTAGAAATTAATAAAATTATATCCACAGCTGCAACAAAGACAGAATCTTCTGTAATGTCTAAATCGTTAAGTTCTTCTTTGGATGACACTGAAGTTAAGAAAGTAATGGAAGAATGTAAGAGGCTGCAGTTAGAAGTCCAGAGGTTACGGGAGGAGAACAAACAATTTAAGGTAATCATTGTCTCTCCGTTGCACGTTTCCTTTCTGGAGACAAATATATATTCTTGCCTAAATTGTCGGTGGGAATGTGTTTGTGTTAGCCTGGTATATGAAAATGTAATTGGAAGTAAGACCATTTTAGGGGCTCGTCGAGCACAACATAGAAAAGAAGTTAGATTCCTAGCCAATGTCGTGATAGCCACGCTGGAGCCGGGTGCGTGGGTGTCAATGTGGCAAAGTGTTAAAAACATCTCTCCTTATATATAATTGAATAGTGGGTGCCAAAGTTCTAATTCTAAAATGCACTCCCTTAGTGTATGGCTGATGGCACTGCTCCTCAGCATATATCGCCACCAATCAGAAGGCAAAGCCCGGGTCCCGCCCACACCACAACTGCTGGGACAACCTGGTCTTTTGCATATGGAAGCTGATTGGACTTCACTCCATTCCACACCTCAAACTCCCCCCCCCGCAAGGCAGTTGGAATGTCAGTTGCATATGGAACCTGCTGTATTCTGGTGGTGTGCAGGTCCCAGGTTCATGTTTTAAAAGCAGACTGACACTGTTTGCCCAAAGCCAGAGCACTCTCCCAGAGCCTCTTTCTAGCTCTCGTTGTATTTATTTCCACAATGGGCCTTATTTCTAGTAAGAACATAAGAGATGCCAATGTTGGATCAGGCCAAAGGCCCATCCAGTCCAACACTCTGTATCACACAGTGGCCAGAAATACCAGGTGCCATCAGGAGGACCACCAGTGGGGCCAGGACACTAGAAGCCCTCCCACTGTTGACACCCCCCCAAGCACCAAGAAGACAGAGCATCACTTGCCCCAGAGCCCCTATCTATACCTTGTGGCTAATAGCCACCGATGGACCTCTGCTCCATCTGTTTCGAGTGTTGGACTGGGATCTGAATGCATGAAGCTGCCTTGGACTGGACTGGACCATTGATCCGTCAAGGTCAGTATTGTCTGCTCAGATAGGCAACAGCTCTCCAGGATCTCAGGCAGAGGACTTTCCCATCACCTACCCCCCTGAGCCTTTTAACTGGAGATGCCGGGGATTGAACCTGGGACCTTCTTCATACCAAGCAGATGCTCTGCCACTCAGCCACTGCCCTTCTGTGGAAGAAGAGGAGGAGGCAGAGATTGGATTTATACCCCGCCCTTCACTTGGAGTCTCAGAATGGCTTACAAACTCCTTTCCCTCCCCCCCCCAACAGACACCCCATGAGGTAGGTAGGGCTGAGAGAGCTCTGACAGAAACTGCTCTTTTCAAGAGCACCTCTGACCAGAACTATGGCTTGCCCAAGGTCATCCAGCAGCTGCGAGTGGAGGAATGGGGAATCAAACCCAGTTCTCCGCCACTCTTAACCACTACACCAAACTGGCTCTGCACCATACTGAAAGTCCTTCCCACTCTGAGAGCCAGTTTGGTGTAGTGGTTAAGAGTGGCAGACTCTAATCTGGAGAACTGGGTTTGATTCCCCACTCCTCTACATGCAGCCAGCTGGGTGACCTTGGGCCAGTTCCCTCAGAGCTGTTCTCTCAAGAGCAGTCCTCAAAAGAGCTCTCCCAGCCCCACCTACCTCACAGGGTGTCCGTTGTGGGGAAGGGAAGGAGATTGTAAACTGCTCTGAGACTCCAAATGAAGGGCGGGGTATAAATCCAATCTCTTCTTCTTCTGCTTGCTGGATCACCTTGGGCAGTCACATACTCTCAGCCTAACCTACCTCAAAGGGTTATTTACGAGGATAAAGTGGAAGAGAGCAGGATGACTTAAGTCGCTTTGGTGTCCCATTGGGAAGCAGGGTGAGGTGTAAGTGAAGTAACTGACAGACTACCCAGTCTCTGCTTCTGCTGCCATTGCGAAGGAGGAGGGTCTTAAGCACTAGACTGTTTGTGATCAGAAATAGGCAGTGGTATTATGTGCCCTGTTCCCCTCCCCATCCCTTCCATCTATGGCAGAGGTGTCACAGCAGCCATGCTACATCTGCTTCAGTATCAGTATAGATGTTCAAGATGGCTCGGGTTTCCACAGCCCAGAATCAGAAACCACCTTGGAAACCATGGCTGTTGATTTGGGGTATGCGGCTAGGTCTGTGTTTCATGTCAATGTTGCCTTGCGCCCAGTGGAAGAAAAAGAAGAGATTGGATTTATACCCCGCCCTTCACCCGGAGTCTCATA